TTAGAGTTAATCAATGTAGCATATATTATCGAAGGAAGCAAAATTCCATGCCCCATGATATCTGATTATACCAAGACGGCGGTAAGACAAACTTTGGGAAGAGAACCAAAGATCGGAAAAAGAATGGTTATGAATCTACAAAGAATGGTACGACATGTATCCATTGATTGGAAGAGAGCCTATTTCGGGCTTGGATTCAAGCCCACATTCCAATAACTTTTCCAGGAACTGAGAAAGAGGACAGAAGAAAGAAATGCCATAATGAAAGGTGAATATATCCCTGGGGAACGTATGTCTTTCCCTCCTATAGAGAGTTCTTTCAAATTCGGACGGGTGTATGATATGGAGAAGTAACTGACCAAGGCTATCAAGACCGGGGAGCTGATGGAAGAGCAAAATATGATGGGTGAGGCTTTAGAAGGGATGTATGTCAACATGATTACCGGGGACAACCAGCCTAAAATTTTTTTAGCTGGAATCCGTCCTTGCTTCCCTGGTGAAGAACTCAACAACTAGACTTCAGAGGACCTCCTTGTAGTTTTTAAGTCTAATTCAAAGTAATGCTCGAGGATAACTTTTGTTAATACTTAAAAGTATCAAAAGCAACTTTTTGTATAAATCATTGTTACCAGAACTGATTAATTAAATATGTTTTTCTTATTTTTCAAATGGAAATCATTTTCATTCTTCGCATTTTTGCATCATGTTCATTACACAATATTCTTTATTTCATATTCTTTATCCTTCACATTCGTATCCCAATACATCTGAGCCAAATTTTATGTAGATGTCACAATGATACTAGCATGAATGTTCTTGAATTCAGTCACGAGATAGATTTTGAGTGACCTTTGTGTATGAAAGAAGTCAATGAGTGTGAAGATGAGGCATATTGTGATGTTCCTAATGAATTATTAAGACTGCTGGAAAAGGAAGAGAAACAAATTCTACCCCACAAGGAAGAAACCAAACTGGTAAATTTGGGAACAATAGAAATATGAAGAGATAAAAATTGGCATTACTTTGTCTACAGGAATAAGGTGAGAATTGATAAGTTTACTCCAAGAGTTCAGGGACGTCTTTGCATGGTAGTACAAGGATATGCCTGGGTTAAGCACTGATATAATAGTCCATAAGTTGCCAATTAGACCAAAATGCAAGTCAGTTCAGTAGAAACTCAGGAGAATGAGGCCAGATATGCTATTAAAGATTAAAGAGGAAGTGACGAAACATATTGACACATGTTTCCTTCAAGAGGCAAAATATCCTGAATGGGTGATCAATATTGTCCCTGTACCTAAGAAAGATGGGAATGTCTGCATGTGCATGGATTATCAATACCTCAATAAGGCTAGCCCGAAAGATAATTTTCTTATGCCTCATATAGATACTCTAGTGGAAAACATTGTGGGGTATTCACGGTTTTTCTTCATGGATGGCTTCTCGGGATATAATCAGTTTAGAATGAATCTTGAAGACATGGAAAAAATGACCTTTATAACTATATGTGGTACTTTTTGCTATAAAGTAATGTCGTTCGGGTTGAAAAATACTGGGGTAACCTATCAAAGAACCGTGATAACTCTCTTCCATGATATGATGCATAAGGAAATCAAAGTATACATGGATGAAATGATTGCCAAATCCTGAACCGAAGAAAAACATATACAAAACCTAAGAAAACTCCTAAAAAGGATGAGAAAATACCAATTAAAGCTCAATCTAGTCAAATGCACATTCGGGGTAGAATCAGGGAAATTACTAGGCTTCTTGGTGATTCAGAAAGGAATCAAGATCGATTCAGACAAAGTCAAGGCAATTCAAGATCTTCTAACACCTCGCACGCCAAAAGAAGTGTAATCTGGACCGAGCTTAAACTATATATCTCGGTTCATTTCCCAACTGATCGATAAGTGTAATCTGGTATTCAGATTGCTCAGGAAGAATAACCCTGAGCTTTGGAACAATAAATTCCAAGAGACTTTGGAGATTATCAATAAATACATGTCCAATGCTCCAATCCTAGTAGCATCAGTGCCTGGCAGGCCATTAGTTCTCTACTTAACATTTTTTTAGAATTCAATGGGATGCGTGTTAGGGTAACATGACGAGTCAGGAAGAAATAAGAGACCCATTTATTACCTGAGCAAGAAATTCACCGATTGATAGACTCGATACCCACCGATTCAAAAGTTGTGTTATGCTTTAGTTTGGGCAACCCGAAGGCTTAGGCGGTACATGTTATATCATACAACGTGGTTAATATCGAGGATGGATCCACTAAAATTTCTGATGAAATCTCCAGCTCTGATTGGTAGACTGGCTAGGTGGCAGATGTTGTTATTTGAGTTTGATATTTTGTATGTGAAATCTTTTCAAAGAAAAAAAACCCCAAGTCATACAAGTTTTCACCCACCCGGGCGAAAAACGGTGACGACAAGAACGAACATTAATAATATTTAATGTTTGCTTAATCAAATAAACGAACATGAACAAAGGACTCGCTTGTTCATTTACATTCATTAATGTTCGATAATCTATTCTTATATGCCCATTCATTTATATTTGTTTATTTTTGTTCGTTTATATTTAGTCCAATTTCGAAACTCATTTAAAATATTAAGACCTAATAAATTTTAACCTTAAAACCATTAATATTTTAAAACTCAATTTTAAACCAATTAAAAAAGACTCAACTCTATTAAAGAAATTATAAACTCTAAATTATTTGGAAATAATTTTTTTCTCAAATACAAGTCCAATTAATTTTTTATTCGTTCGTTTATGTTCATTTACGTTTGTTCATTTGTGTTAGTTTATCATTTTAATGAATGAACACGAACAAGCTACATTCCTTAACGAACGAAAACGAACAAGAAAATTTTGTTTGTTTAGTTGTTTGTATTTGTTCATTTGTTCGACTAAATTTATATGAATGAACATGGCATACCTTCGTTCGTGTTCATTCAGTTTGTTAACGGGCCTAAGTCAAGCAAGCAGGCTGTTTGGTTTTAGTCAAACATTTTCACATTTATACAAGACAAATTAATCATTTGTATTAGACAATATAATATCGAATATATATATTTTTGAATAGTTTGGAATATTTATAAGATAATATTTATTCAGAATTTTTTTAATTTATTGATAACGTACACATACTTTGCAAGCACAATTATTCAAACTTAAATATTTTTAAAAATAATATTTTATTTTATCACTAATATCACTCAATAAATATATATATATATATATATATATATATATATATATATATATATATATATATATATATATATATATATATATGTGTGTATTAAATTAATATAAACGTAAAAACATGATTATGTCACGAATAAATGCGAATACAAAAATTTAAATTAATATCCATTCTCTCTTTACTTTCTCCAACCTCTCCAATTAATTAACTCTATGATGAGTTGTTATCTACCATATTTTAACCAGAGAAATGATTTACTAATGCAATTTGCTACAGCCAAAAAGCACGTGTGAATTGGAATATCCTCATATACGCCCACACGACTTGAAACATAATTGACCCTCAAAATCAAATCCAATCATCTTTTCTTTTAATCAAAGTGACGATTAAATGCATTTAGCTATCAGCTTCCTTAATTTTCTTTTACTCTAAATATTTAATAATTTAGTTGTTCTACATTCAAAAATCTTAATCTTAAAGCTGCTTCTACCCTAAAATATAAATGTTTCTTTAATAAATAAACAAATGGAATCTAAAGTACACACTCACGTAAGATTTTATGTTTTAAGTAAATTTATAAAGAATTTTAAACGAAAGTTTATTAACAATATAAGAAATTAAATTATATAATAATTTAAAATTTTAGGACGATAATTTTTGGGGGAAATTTAAACCTCTACGTCTAGCATCTCGATGACAAGGCATTAGAACTTTAGTAATCTAACAATATGGTTAAAGTGTCTAGGCAGTTTATGTACCATACTTGTTCGTTTGATATTACTACAAAGATGACAGAATTAGTTAAAAGATAAATATCATAAATATTAATATAATAATGTATGTAACAATAGCAACACGTTGATAAACATCACGAATACTGTTATTATAGATGACCATTTGCGAGACAAAGAGAAGACGAAATCATATGGGTTTAAAATTATATGAGATTATTAATAATCGCTATTAAAATAGTAATTGATTAGTCAATCATAGTCTAACATGACTTAATAGCGATGCCTCATAGCCTCAAACGTGCCAAATTAGCTCTATGTGATAGGAGTAATCGAGTGACCAATTTGTTATAAAATGTTATCATTAATGATCGTTTTGTTATTTTTAAAACTTTAATACTAAAAAAGAAATTTATTAATACTTCAATAATCATTTGTATAATTTACCCATTTTGAAACCCTTAACCAATTTATAATGACAAGCCGTTTGTCTGTCAAACTAGCACTAGGTAAACTATTTTTTATTTCAAAATTATTTCTAATATTTAGTTTTAGTTTCATTTTTATTTTGGTCACCTGTAGTTAAAAATCTAACGGTGATGCTGACATATTATTATAAGATAATGCAATGTCATCGTTGATGAAAATAAAAATATCATATCAGTAATTATGTTATTTTTAACAATAAATGATTAAAATAAAATCAAAACTAAACATTAGGTATGATTTTAAAATAGAAAATAATTGAATGACTAATACGAAACAAAAGTGATAGTTGAGGTACTAAACATGTAGTTTAGCCTATTAGTATTATGTTTTCTTATCCACAAAGGAATAGAAAAAGGAAAGAAATAAAAGACGAAGTGATGCCCGATCCCCTTTCGCCTTCTTCACCCTAAACCTAACGGCTATATTGTATAAATGATTCAAATCCTTCCTTCACTAACCCCAACGGTTCATTTCCATTCTCCCCGCAAACAAACAAAAAAACCAGCCCCACTTCCCCACTCAACATTTATATTCTTCTCCCATTTCTCATCGAAAAAAAAAACACTCTCCTACTTCTAACAATGGAAACTGCTATTTGTAACACTAATTGTAATGGAAATGGAAATCCTAATCCTGCTGCTGTTCAAGTTCAGCATGTAACTAAGAAGTCATCTGATGAATTGCTGAGGAAGTTTTCTGTAATCGACGACAATAACAATGATGGCAATAAGGGAGTGGCGTTTAGGAAAGAGTTAATGGCGGTGAAACGGAGGAAAAAGAATGGGTTACGCAGGCCAAGAAGGGAATCATCGGGTGGTGGTCATTGTGACAGTCCTTCCAACAATGGCTTTGTTGAGCGGAAATGGCTTCTTCCTCCGGCGACCACACGGCGGTCCACTTTGCTTAAACAGCTTGGGATCAGGGAAATCAGGAAAAGGTCCATCTTTGGCACCATTGAGAAGGTAATCCCTTGCATATTTGATTTGCATTTGCTGTTGATGTATAATGTATATGTAAACTTGTTGTGATGCAGACATGGCGTAAAACTATAGAAGGAGCTTCTAGAGTTTTCATGGAGAAACATTATAACAGGCATAGGCGTTTGATTAATGATGTTGTCTACCCAACTTTTTAGGCATTGCCTCTGCAATCTGTATATTTCCAATTGTGTATTATTATTACTTGTTCTTATTCCATCATGGGAAATGCATCATAAAATCCTTGATTTTGTTTACTAACCTATATAAAATAAAATTTTTATCTTACAAAGAATAATGAAACTGAAAAAAAAGCTCAGACTGACCTATATAAACATGGATCACCTCCAATTTAAATTCAAAGTAGTAACTTAATCTTATCGAAACTTCTTATTGAAACAGAACCAAAACAACCTGAAACAAACACTGACCAATTCAAACAATTCCTTAAACTATTCTGCATACTTGCAGTCAGTTTACGTCTGTTACTCCACACACTCTCAATTTCTTCTTAAGCTTCTCAAAAGTCTCCAGCTTCAACGCCTTGGTCGTGATGTTTGTTGTTTGCTCCCCAGTTCCACAACTAACAAACTCATTAACTTTATTATTCTACAAACGGAAGTGGTACCTTACATGAATGTGTTTACTCCTCCCATGTAATATCACATTCGTTGTGAGTTTGATGGTGAAAGCATTGTCACAATACAACGTGATACTCTCTTTCTGAGGATGGTTGAGAGCATTCAAGACTCTCGTACAAACCGATTGACATGCACATATTGTTGCTGCTACAAACTCTGCCTCGTTGGTACAGTAGGTTGTTACTGATTGTTTTTTTGAAAACCATGCAACAACTCCGAACAGAAATACATACCCCAAACTACTTCTTTTGTCATCCCAGGTTACTTTTCAAAGTCAAGCTCAAGAGGCAGATAATGTTCAGAGGCAAGTTGTGGATGTTGAAAGTAAAAAAATAATGGGGCGGCTGTGGAAAATTGGTTTTGGGCGGCAAATGTAGTCAAAATTAGGTAACCAAATTGTTGAAATTAAATGGGATAACTACAACATTTAATCCTTAAACTTTAGGGTATTTATAAGATTAGTCCTTAAGCTTCAACTATAAATACTCTAGCTCATTTAGCTTCAAAATCATCCCAAAGCATTCTAGCTTTCTTTCAATACTAGAGAATTTAGAGAGTTTCTTGAGAGTTGTTTTTTCCTTTTTATCAAGAGAGAATTATCATTGTTTTCTCCTTGGTAAATCGATAGAAGTTGTAATTCCTATTTTCTCATAGTGAAATTCTTCTATCGTTGTCTGTGGTTTTTACCCTATATTATTTAGGGGTTTTCCACGTAAATTTTGTGTCTCCTTTATCTTCATTTTTATTTTCTCAAATTATCAGTTGTGATTTTGCTCTATCCGATAGCCGTCTTCCGCAACAATTGGTATCAGAGCCAGATTAGAGTGTGCAATATATGCTTATTATCTTTGTGGTTGCCACCAAAAGGTGGATCCTCCAACATAAGAAAGTAAGAAGTTATTACTCATTCTTTGAAGGTTCCAGAGAACTATTCACGATAGTGAAATAGTTGGAGCTATCCGTAAAAGAAGTTATGGCAACGAAATTTGATATTGAAAAATTCAATGGGAGAAATTTTTCATTGTGAAAATTGAAGATGAAGACCATCCTGAGGAAAGACGGTTGTCTAGCAGCTATCAGTGAAAGGCCAGTGGATTTCACATATGACAACAAATGGATCGAAATGGATGGGAATGTTATGGCAAACTTTCATCTAGCATTAGCAGATGAAGTATTGTCAAGCATCGAGGAGAAGAAGACAGCTAAGGAGATATTCTCACCAAATTGTACGAAGCCACATCGCTGCACAATAAAATTTTCCTTAAGAAGAAATTGTACACTCTCCGTATATCAGAATCTACTTCAGTGACGGAGCACTTAAACACACTGAACACGTTATTTTCTCAGCTTACATCATTAATGTTGAAAACATTTTGATATTTCAATATAACAAATTAAGTTAAATGAATTTTAAGATTTTCCAAATGATTTTCTAAGTATATTCGATATAACTATTCGAATATCAAAACATTACTCCAAATATTTCAAAAATCATTTTTAATCCTTACTTAAGTGTAAAATTAAGTTTTAATCTTAAAACAATTTTAAACTTATCTTTCAAAGTATTTCGAACCATTTCAAAGCCAAAAATTCCAGATTGCTCAGAGGGAACCGATTCCCCCCCAAGGGGGTACCGATTCCCCCTGAATGGTTTGGCTCCGAGATTTCCAGAATGCTTGGAGGGAACCGATTCCCCCATAGGGGGTATCGATTCCCCCCTGTTCAACGGTTGAAATATTTGAATTTTACACTTAAGGAACTGATTCCCTATGAGAGGGTACCGATTCCCCCCACGCTCCAAACATTTTTATTAAATGTTTTCACACTTAAACATCTATATTATCTTCACTAATCATCCCCAACGTTCAGAAGTGATTCAAGGTGTATTTAAGCAAGCTTAGAAGCCATTGATCAATAACAAGAAACATCAAGCAACTAGAATCAAGAGAGAATCAAAGAGAAAGCATCAAACCTCAAGTTTGAGCATTTCAAGCCTATTTTTATTCAATATTCATTTTGCTTTCAAGAACACATATTGTGCTCAATTTTATTCATCTTTGAGTGTTCTTTTCTTTGTTCTAGAATTGTGCAAACAATCTACCTTGTGAGGATTTCCTTGTAAGTTTGTAAATTTGTATTGTTCTCTTTGGGAGAGAGTTTTCTCAAGAATTTGGTGTATAATTCTTGAGGGTTTGTAAGGTTACTCTTTGTCCTCAAAAGAAAGACAAATTAGTGAATTCGTGAAAAATCCTTAGTGTGGATAGCTAAGGTAGTGGGCGTAGACTTTGATTGAGAAAGTCGAACCACTCTAAATCGCTGTGCAAATCTTTTCAATTTTCTGCAAAAGCTTCCACCGAAATTTTTATTGCCAATTCACCCCCCTCTTGGCTGATTCCATCGATCGATTAACTCAACAATTGGTATCAGAGCCTAACTCATTTGAAGGTTTAATCACCTCTTGAGTCGATTCGGGAAGAGTTATATCGATAATCAAAGTCATCAATGGCCTCCGCTTCAAACTTCGACTCCGGTCTCGATTCGATGCCCGTCAATAAGCCTCCTTTCTTCAATGGGGCTAATTATACCTATTGGAAGAATAGAATAATGTATTTCATTCAAGCAAGTGACATGGGAGCATGGAATGTCGTAGTAGAATGATACATCAAGCCTCTCACTCATCCAAGATTGTGGAGTGAAGGAGAGACAAAAATGTTCCAGCTCAACTCCAAAGCCATCCATATCATTTTTTGTGCTCTTGGACCAGAAGAATATGGAAGAGTTTCTTCTTGTACAACCGCCAAAGAAATATGGGACAAACTTCAAGTCACTCATGAAGGTACCGATGAGGTAAAGAAATCTAAAATTAGTATTCTAACGCATAGCTATGAAAATTTCAGGATGAAACCAAATAAAGATATCAAAGCTATGACGGATAGATTTTCAATGATTGTCAATGGTCTCAAATCATATGGAGAGATCATTTCAAATGAAAAGCTTGTGAGGAAGTTAGTCTACTCCCTCCCAAAATCATGGCAATCAAAGAAGACGGCAATCATCGAGTCTAAGGACCTAACATCCTTAACTCTTGAAGAGCTAATCGTTTCTCTCCTCACCCATGAAATGATGCTTGAAGATGAGGTGGACCTTGATAAGATTGAAGAGACACCAAAGGAGAAGGAGAAGAAGAAAAACATTGGAGTTGCTCTTAAATCCACAAAAGATGAGAGTGATTCGGATGAAGATGACGATGACGAGGAAATGGCATTGTTTGCCAAACGGTTCAGAAAAATGATGAGACCTTACCGAGGAAGAAAATTCAAACGAAATGAAGGCCTCAAAAATGAACCAAAAGAGAAGGACCCAATCATTTGCTATGAATGCAAAAAGTCAGGGCATGTCAAATATGATTGCCCACAATTGAAGAGGAAGGGTCAATCAAAGAATAAGCACAAGGCTCATGTGGCTACATGGAGCAATGAAGAAGGTTCTGATGAAGAGGAACAAGAAGTAGCAAACTTGTGCTTGATGACATTTGGGGAAGATTCTAAGGTAACCTCTAACTCATCTGATTTTGATGATTTATCTTATGATGAGCTATTAGAGGAATATAATGGGTTGGCTTCGGATTATGAGAAATTGTTTTTAAAATATAAAAATGATGTTTCAAAATTGAAAAATGAAAATAAACTCATATCCAAAACCAACAACGATCTTGAAAGTAAAATCAAAGATTTGCAAATCAAACTAGAAGAGTTTGAAAAGAAAAATTTAGATTTGCAAAATTTACTTTCAAAGATCAATGATGATCATCAAAAGAAAATTGATGATCTTAAAACTTCTTTTGATAAAGTTGGAACAAAACATTTTGAAAGAGGTGGAAATTCAAAATCCAACTTTGTTAGAAAAAGTTTTAGAAACTACAATCATAGAGGTCCCCAAAGAACCTCTAATGGAAAAATCATTAGAAGTATGTGGGTTCCTAAAGAACTCATTACTACTAAAGATAAAAATATCCTACACAAATGGATACCTATGGGGACTAGGATTTTGGAAACTAATGAATATGGACCCAAAAGAATTTGGGTACCAAAAATCAAAAATTAATCTATGTTTGTAGGGAAAGGAGCATTGCTACAAGGCACGGGAAACAAATTCAAACTCATGGTACCTTGATAGTGGATGCTCAAGACATATGACCGGAGACAAAAGCCGGTTCATTGAGCTTAACGCCAAAAATGGAGGAGAAGTGACTTTTGGAGACAATTCAAAAGGTCACATTGAAGGTATTGGTACAATAGGTAATACATCTTCCATACAAATTAAGAATGTTTTATATGTGAATGGATTAAAGCATAATCTTTTGAGTATTAGTCAATTATGCGATAAAGGATTCAATGTCTTATTTGAAATTAATGGTTGTAAAGTTATTGACATTGCATCTAATCGGATTATGCTTATTGGTCATAGAATAGGAAACATTTACATGGTGCATTTAGATTCTATTGATATGACTAATT